TACGAGAACTGGGTTATAGGCTAGAGTTGTGTGGGGTGAGAAGTCTCACCAGAAACAGTGGGGAACAGAACAGGGGGGTCTACTGAAACACACTGCTGATGGCAGCAGTGGGCAAGACAGGAGAGGTCTGCCTCACCATGTGGGCCAGCTCCCTGGCCAGGGATCAGTCTCATGCTGCAGTGGCTATGGATAGCTTGGTTGTGCTGAATTAACTCCTGTGTCACCAGAGAGGTCCCCTCTTTTATTTCTTTTAAAACATTAAGCATTCTTTTTTACATACCTGAATGCTTTGCTTTGTGGGCCTGGTTCTGCTTCCTGGTGTTTCTGATGACTCCTACTGATGCTGCTATGTTTCCTTATTTATTTCTGTATGTTTTGACTATGAACCTGTATTTCTCACAACATTTCTTACATCTGTGAATTCATTGAGAGCTGTGCTGTAGGTAGGCTCCTTATCTTCAGACTGAGACTGAAGATTTAAGGGCCTCCTGCGTGGTGTCAGTTAGAATTAGAAACTGAAGATTGGCATTATTTTGGGTGTAGCTTTAGTTCTGGTTCAGTTGGACACTGAAGACCTATCTCTGTGGGGATCTCCAATTTATGGGGGATGCTCTTATGAACTGCCATTTCAAGGGCCCTAAATTTTGTCTTTTGTCCACCCAGAAGCCTTGAAAACCAGAATTCCATGTCATTGGTGCTGCAAGTACCCTCACGGCAGTAGCCAACTGCCACCCTGTACACCTCATTAGGTTTGAGTTTTACTAGTGTTTGCCTTTAAAAGTACAGACTTTTTGGACCGACAGGAATATATTAATAACTTGAGTTTGTTTTTAATGAACATTTCTAGTTACTTAAGGGAGGAGGTCCAGTCAGGGCACCCATCCTGCTAGAAGGCAGCACCTCCATGGTCTGTGCTGACTAGCGTGCCCAGGTACCTCATGAGTCTGCTAGAGCTGGATCTCTCCCTGGACTGCACACTTATAGGTGGCCTGTTTGAGGTACTCCCAGCATTCCCTGTGACCTGTCTCTGCACTGTCACACCCACACTCAGGCAGAGCCCACAAATGTGATGAGTGGGGCAGTGCCAGAGTGGTACCCTGCTTTGACCTCCTACCTTATTCTCTTTGTTGCTTTCCAACAAAGGTTCTTAAGATCATAGCAGTCCTGTCTTAGTAAAAGGAAAGGGCTCCTGATGGAGCACAGGCTTTCCTGTTTGTGGGTGAGGCTATGGTGTGTGCAGAGGTATGAACCCTTGGCAGCCCAAGGATGTGAGCTAGGAACTTATGATCTTTGGGCACCAGCCACTCTCTTGGTCCTGCCTCCTCTCCTCTCTAATTGCTTGGGTTCTGTCCGCTGATCCAGCCCTGTGGGCTGTGGGCAGGTCTCCACCAGCACCTGGACGGCTGCCTACACATGCCTGTCTCCTCTGTGAGGGGCATCCTAGGATCTCTGTGGCGCTGTTCCTGCCTGAGGTGTGTGTGTGTTGATGGGAGAGTGAGTGCCAGTTGCATCTTGGAACCAGACCTACCTACCGCTTCCCACAGCTGGAGAAAGGCTCCAGTCTCCTCTCTGTGTGGATACCCCTTAACGAGCTTGCTGCCGAGGCATGACACTGGGGGAACAGGCATGACACGGGGACACCACCATTGTCTGTGGCTTGAGGGCCTGTGAGACTTTCTTTTGTCTTGACTTTGTCAGCAAATTGTGTCTTTCTTTTAATTTATAAAAGAATGTGTCTTACTCTGACATCTCAAAGAGTGGGCAAAATACAAAGTTGTGCTCTGTATATTAAGTTACATGTTCCTTTACCCTCTGGGAGGAAAAGACAGGGAAGCACAGCGGCGGGTGGCTGGTATCGCACATCAGCCTTGCGCAAGGGGCTGCGGCCTCCGCTCTGGGCGGCAGGGTGCCAGGGGAGATAGGATAATGCGATTATTCTCAATTAGATTAATAAAGAATAATTAGATGTCATAAATCAAGCAATCATGGGATATTGTCATAGGAAAAATATGTAGCTAGAATTAATTAGTTTTCAAATAAAGCGTTTATTTTAATTGCTTGAAATGATGGAGCCCTTAATTGCCGATGCATCATTTTGGCCTGAGCATTTTGGTTGTTGTAACAACGTGATGGGTTTGTTCCTTACAGTTCTGGGGAAACAATAGAGAAGAACTTAATTTCATCACCCCACAGTGAGCCTTGTTCTGTTGAAGTTCTGGAAACTCCCATCAGGCTGCAGGCAAGTGGCAAGTGTGGACTGGGGCTTTACTGACACTGCTCAAGGCCACTATGAGGGTGTGTGTGTTTGTGTGTGCATGTGCGTGTGTGCATGTGCATATATGCCTGTGAATGTGCTCATAAGCATGTGCTTGCATGTGTGTGAGCCCAAATACATGCAAGTGCCTGAGTTTGCAAGTTTGTACTTGTGTGAGTTTGGGGTGTGTGTATGTGTGCTTTACCTTTTGTGCATGTGTGTACACATGTGTGCATGTCAGCACTGCAAAGTAGGCGTTGGTTCAGATATGGCCTGTTGTACCCCAGGGCCTGGAACAAGAGGCAGGATGCCCTTCCTGGCTTGGACTGAGACTTCTGTGGTGGTATGCTCTGCTCCCCCTGTCTCCCCACCCCCATCCAGAATTGGAAGTTTTTTACTGACCTGAGGTGCCATGATGAAGTTTGCATTCTTGGGTTTCTCCAACTCTGGGTTTCTTCAGCTCTTTGGCTCTCACTCACCAGTGCTCACATGCAGAACAAGACAATGAACTCTGGCTTCTGAAAGCTGGGGTTCCTCTAAACTTGTTCCTCTGAACTTGTCCCCCAAGTTGTCCTCCCTAAGGACAGCTTTTGGAGGGTATATCTAGGTGACCTACCTGTTAAACTCCAAAGCAATGGCCTTGGGCCATGGAGTAATATAGGGTCATGACAGGAGACTGTTTTTGTATTTAAGAAAGATCAGTTGGTTTTTGTTTGTTTGTTTTTTAAAGATTTATTTATTTGTGCATATAGAAATGGGGTACAGGTCAGAGGCTCAGGGGCGATGAAAGACTTCACCAGAGACAGAGTGGGGAGCAGAACAGGCAGAGCGACGAAGTACACTGCTGTGGGGAGCAGTGGGTAGGTCAGGAGAGGTCTGCCACGCCATGTGGTCACCTCCGGGAGAGGCGGGAATCGAACTCATGCGGAAGTGGCTTTGGCTTTTCAGTGCTGTGCTTTAACCCGCTGCGCCACCAGGGAGGGCCCAACAACAACAATTCTTAATGTTTTTTACCTTTTGCTCTTGTCAGGTACTCCTGGGTGATGGGGAGGAGCGAGGAGTGGAGCCACAGGCTTGGTGGCTAAGGACACAGCTAGAGTGGTCCCTTGCATTGGCAGCCTACTTGAGAAACCCTTGCTCCTTCTGCCTCTGTGCCTGGTCACCAACCTCTGCCTACAACTCTGTTATGTAGATGTCTGCCCCGAACCTAGAACCTTCTCCAAATCCTGGTATCAGCTTCCTACTTCACAGCAAAGGCTGTCCTGGGAGAATTCTACCCATCTTCCTTGCTCCTATTTTTTCTTTACCTCTGGTGGCTGTGACTGCCACACCAGTGGGGGCAGTGGTCACCTCCTTGCTCTCTGTGCAGACTGGAGGCAGACAGGTTGGGAACTATACCAGCAGGAGCAACCCTTCTGACACAACTGCTCCAGCTCCCAGCAGCCTGCTTCTTCTTTCTATACCCTCAGCCTGTCCAAGGGTGTGTAGGCAGACAGATGTGCCCCCAGCTGTTAGAGTAAGTTGCATTTGAGCAGCCTCTCCACCTGCTGGGAACAGCTGTTGTGCACTGAGTCACTGGAGGCCTGTGGGGCGTGGTAACATGCCATCCATGGTAGCATGGAGGCCTTCAGTAGCATGAACAGGGGACACAGGCCTTCCAGGGACTCTGCAGGATTGAGTGGCTGTGGTGAGGCTTGACAGGGACACATACTTTTCTACTTTGAGCTCAGTGGGCCCCAGTAAACCTTAAACATCAGTTGGTGATTTGAGGAAGGATTTATATGTGAGCGTGCCCCTCCGTAGGAAAGAGTAGCAACGTGACTCAGTTCCCCTGCCCCTTGGTCACACAGCATCATACCAACCACTCTGTCCCTTGGTGGCAGCATACAGAGCTCAGGGCACTTAAGACCTGAGGCTGAGGGGGCTGGAGCAATTCAGTAGCTCATGCCTCAGTTTCCCCATTAGTTCAGGGGTACTTCTCCCTTAAAGGATGGCTGTAACAAGTTGAAATGTGGATATGCAGGCCTGGGACCTGACAGAGATATTCACAGTGTTTGTGAAGAAGAGACTCCCCATCTTCTGAGGAGTCCTGCTGACTCCTCTGGTGACAGGGGACCTCACACACCTCTTGTCTGTCCCTTGGTTTATCCATTCAGCATGCACTTGCTGAGAAGGTACTGTGTGCCTAGTACTGAATGCTGGACCTGGGGTCCAGAGGGAGCAGGCCAGTAGGGCCAAGGTAGACAGCATGTCAGTCATACCCCACTGGGAGAAGATAGGGCTTAAGGAGGGGAGGCCAGATATACTAGAGGGCTAGGTGGGATGGGCCCCCCTGAGGAAATAATAATTCTCTCCAGGGCCTGGAGAGAAGCTGGCATGAGCTCTCTAGGTGTGGATAGCCTAGCAAGTTGAATGGCAGGTGGGTAGGAACCTGTCCTGGTCAGAGTTGTGCAGAGCTAGTGTGGCTGGGGATACTTAAGGAGCTACAAGGTACAGCTGATGGGTGGGTGGGAAGCCCTGGGCATGTGCGTTAGTGGAGGCCTCTGCACAAAGCATAGACGATGAAGGTAGCCAAGGAGGATGTAGGCACTTCTGTGCCCACCTGGGGATGCTGTAGTTTGAGTGATGCAGAGGCCACTAGGCAAGACTGAAGAGGAGGTAGAGGGTCAGGTGGCATCCAGGGACACCTTTACTGCCTTTTGAAAGAAAATAGGTAAGTGGCTAACGCACATCCCCTTGTCCCCAGGTTATTGCGTTCCACCCACCATGGCGGCCGTGCTGCCCCCACCACCAGACCCAAAGTTTGTCCTTCGAGGTACCCAGTCGGCGGTGCATGCACTTCATTTCTGTGGAGAAGCCGCAGTGCAGGGGCACCCACTCCTCCTCTCAGGGTGAGTATCTGCTGCCCTGAGGACTCATCCACGATGAGTTGGAGAAGAGAGTCATGAGCTTGTGCTCATTCCGGGTACTCAGGAAGAGGTTCAGATGCCCATCACCCAGGCACATTGCCCTCTCAGAGTCCCATTGATGACTCTCCCTTGGATCTGGCCTCCTCTCCGTTACAGGCACTATGCAGTTTACACAGGCTAGGGGCTCCTGCCCTTTTGGAAAAGGATCACCATTCTCCTTTACTCTCAGTTCAGACTTAGAACTGTCACTTAAAGTAAAACCTCTGTCAGGTACTTTTCTTTTTTTTCTACAAAATGAATGTAAAAAAGAAATTATTAAATTAAAAAAGAAACATGTTGGACAATGTTTAAAAAAAAAAAAAGCCCAAAACAAAACCAAAAAAAACCCTCTGGCATTTCAGACACCTAGTTCCCCAGCTGTGTAGTGTCTGTGCAGAGCTACATAGCATGCTGGGATCCTCCCTCTCTTATCTGTCCTCCTGAGCCTGGCTTTGCACATGTCTAAACAGGTCCCAGAGTGGGCTGGTGCATATCTGGAGCCTGCAGACACGGAGAGTGGTCACCACCCTAGACGGTCATAGGGGCCAGTGTGTGACCTGGTTGCAGACGCTGCCCCAAGGGCAACAGCTCATCAGGTGGGTCTTGGTGGAACAAGTGTGGTCTTGGGTAGTGCTTTGGCTCCTACCATCCCAAACGTGGCTCATTGGTGACCAAGGAACCACTCTGTGCAGGCAGGTGGCGGCCCTGGCCATGTGTCCTTGTAGAGTCCTTGCAGGGCCTTGTATCCTCCCTGACAAAGCTGGCCCAAATTTCTCCCAATCCCCAATCCACTTTGCAGAAAACCCTCCTTTGGGTTTTGATTTTTCCTTGATAGGCAGAATAGAAATCATGTCCAGTTGCCCTCCTGGATCACTTGCATCAGGAGCTGTCATTTGTGCACATTCTACCTGAATTTTCAGGGCCCAGGTGCCTCAGACTGTCCTCTGGAACTCTGGGCCAGGGGTCCTGGTACCATCCTTAGAGAGCTGGGCCTCATGCTGTGTGGGAAGCAGCCTCAAGGGTGGCCTGGGAGTGAATATTTGAAAGTGCTGCTGAGGTTGCCCTCCCCAGCAGTGACCGGCAGGCAGGAGGCCTGTGTAACAGACTGTGCAGGTGCTTAGAATGCCCAGGTGCGTTTATGTTGCACTAGAGACTGTGCACCCAGCTGTGTTTGGAAGCCAAGTGGCCCTTGACGGAGGAAGGTGTGCTTTCATGTTAAGGGGTGGTTAAAGGACATAGAGCGGGATCCAGGGGCCCCGTTTGTGCCAGGCCGTGCACTTCAGAGCCAGTGGTCCAGGGGTTGTTCTGCCAGACCCCAGCCCCTCCCACAAGCCAAGGTCCACCTGGACCATGAGACTGCCACCTGGCTGGGTTTGTTTACTACCTTTTTTTTTTGTTTGTTATGTGATATAACATACTTATAGAAAAGTGCACAGAACACGTCATAGACCTCTGTGTTCTTAATGAGTCAACAGCTGCATCACCGTTCTCAGGCAGGAAGCAGCACTACCAGACCCCAAGAGCCCCCAAGAGCCCCCCCATGCCAGCTGTGCACATGCTGTCCACCCTAATCTTATCCTTGGGAGGCTGTTTGAACTGTACTGACTGAATATGCATCTCCAAAAAGAGACTCATTTTGTCTGGCTTTCAATTAACTTACTAAAATGGAGCCACATAGGGCAGCTTCTTTGATCTGGTGTCTTTACCTCAGCTTACCTGTGTGAGGTCTACGGAAGTGCTGGTGGCTGCAGCTGCTTGTGTAGGGTTTTCTGTGAGGAAGAACTCTGGCTACAGTAACTGGATTTCTTACCTGATGAGGACTGACACCAATACAGTGTGCATCCCAGGAGCAGACTGCTTCAAGACACAACACAGGAATAGTGATGAATGTTAGGCAGGTGATGAACTGTGTTGGGGCTGCCTCACTCTTGGAAGGCATCGAGAAGGTGGCAGGGTGCACACAGGATTACCTGGGGATGGTGTATCAGGACAGGAGTGTATCATGTTAGCAATTTAGTGGCTCAGTGAAGGAGACATGGGAGGTCTTCCTGCTTTTCTCACAACTGTTCCGTGAGTTCAAAACCAATTCAAATGAGAAGCCACTTAAAACCAGACCAATCCTTTGTTCATGGCATGGTGGCCATGTGGGCAGTGAGTTGGATGCCCTCCCCAGGTGAGCATGTTTCCCCTACATTGTGCCGTGATTCAGCCTTGTACCAAGGATCCTTTCCTATCTGTTACCTTCATTACTGCTGATTCAAGTTAAGTCCTCTTATAGCAGAGAGCATCACCAAGTCTTATTTCTTGTGAGCACCATGCAATTTCGAATGTCCGGGCATATTTGAACTTTAGCGTAGCAGGTTTTCTAGATTAGAATGGGGATTGTCACTCTGGGTCTGCCTGGGAAGAGTCATGTGCACATCCTGGGATTCCCCAGAGTCGTGACGGGGCTGTCACAAACCTAGGGTAGAACCCGGGCCTAGATGCCAGACCTTTGCAGCTCCCCCTTTTCCTACCACTGTCCTTTTCTAGGATATGTCTTGTGGGTGGGGGTGAGGAACATCCATGTGCACTAGCCATACTGTGCGCACACTTCTGTGCTCCTCGTGCCTGTCTGTCAGTATATATTTGTATGAACATGCATTCATACCAGCGTTTCAGAACCGACCAAGTCTTCTGGTCTCCTCAATCCCCTCAGGTCTGTGTTCACTTCTTTTTCTTGGGTTTTCCTGACTTCCACCTTGGGGAAGCGGACTGGCCAGGAGTGTTGTTTTAGAATGTCCTTTATATGGGGCTTGCTGTGTAGCTTTTCAGGGTTAGGTGGAGTGGTGGGCCACGGGGAGGTACCCTCTAAGTGGCATGCCCTTCTTGTTCCCTCATCTAGGGTATATGATGTCCAAAAGACTCGTCTCCGGTCATCAGGTTTCCTCTTCTTATGAGGCTCCTTGTGAGTCACTGGAGCCAGCAGCACTAGAGTCTTTGTCCTCAGCATAGAGATTAAGGAGGATAAAAGAATTTACAGTTGTATGCTGGAGCCACCCAAAATGAGCAATACACTTTTGTGGGGAAAGATTGAGACTCTGTGAATATCCTGTTTCCACTTAAGCACTGCCACTGATTTTAGCATCTGTCAGTGGATTCTGGCCCTGAAGGTATTATTGGAGTGTTCTCATCCGGACGTTCTGTGTCTCACAGCCTTCCTGCTTTTGGTAGAATTCTACTTGAATTGGCAACCTTATGTGAAGGAAGGGCTCTCCTGTCCCATTTATGTACCTGTTCTCTCGAAAGCCTAAATTCATGGAGAATCATTTTATTCTTGAGTTAGAATCTCAGATTACCCTCATTCATTACTCAGGTTATTCTAGCTTTGGTGCCTGTGTCCTTTGGACACGACCCATCCTTTATCGGATCTAGTTAAAAGTACTTCCCCCTG